GTGTAGTAGTCTAGTAAAATTATGATTTGACCTGGGAAAAAATGCTTCATAAGCCCTTGAAGTGGTATTCGACTCAACAAATGTTACTTTACAACATATCCAAAATCCGACAAAATCCGACCATGGGAAAGTGTCTAAAAATAAACTTGAAAATGGCGGCTATTTTTCTTAAGAGCAATTTATTTTAAAACACCAATAGTCAGATAAATATGGGATATGGCCTTAAAACAATGCAAGAAAACATTGTATGGTTTTATTTGGTATAGTGTTAGGTGTGCAGAGTGACGTACTAAAAGTTGCCAAAAATCGGTCTACAGGAAACCGCCTCTAATGACGATTAAAAATGGCAGTTATCAGAAAAATTGGACACATTAAAAAATATATAACATGCATTTTTAATGCATATTTTTTAGATATTCACTTATTTGTTATTTTGTTATTTATTATTTGAGATTACCACCGATATTTATTGTGTGGTTAGTCCTTTAATTTGATAGGGAATGCATTTTGGCCGCCATCTTGGATCTGCCATATTGGATGCGCCATATTGGATATAAATATATATTATTAAACGTAATGATAGTGTTGTGACACATCATTATAAATTAGATTTTCACGTTGATTTCAATGCTAAAATCCGTTTTTAAATAATTTTGTTCGTTTTGAAGATACGTTCAAACGAAAATTCTCCCTTATCCATTTCTTATGGACGTTACGTAGTTTGGACATTTTTAGATATTGTTTTTAGATATTTTTAGATTTGGACATAAGATAATTTTTCTTATATCTCCAGTTTTTACTAACGCTTGCAGTTTGTTCTAGCCTTAAAATATTCGGTGATAAAAATGTTTACATTTGATCTATTGATCATTAAAATTGGACGTGTTATAGACGAGCTACAAACCCTAACACAATATTAAATTTAACTTTTTAGAAATAAGTTTTTATTAAAAGATGTATATCTCCGGTTGCTAATATGTCACCAAGTTCTTTCTTGTCTCAAATTACTCAGTGGATGTTTAGCTTTAATTTTATGTAGCACTTAATAAAATCCGACAAATTTAAAATGAGTCATGAATCTTTATTTAACAGTAAATTGTTTTATTTTACAAAATTTGTCTTTAGTTTAGGGCATGTATCCCCAATTCTAATAACTCCCAATAAGTAATCCATGGCTGAAACAAACTATTTATTTAAGACCGTAAAGATTTTTGGGAGTTATTTAGAATTGGGGATATATGTCTAAAACTAAAGACAAATTTTTAAAACCAAATAATCTACTGTTAAATAAAGATTCGTGACTCAATTAAAATTCATCAGATTTTAATAAATGGTTAATAAAATTAAAGCCAAAGATTCACTGAGTAATTTGAGACCAGAATGAACTTGGTGACACATTAACAACCCGAGATATACATCTTTTAATAACAAATTATGTCTAAAAAGTTCAATTTAATATTTGATAGGGTTCGTAGATCGTTTCTAAATCATCGGATTTTAATGATCAATAGCACAAATGTAAACCCTTTTATCACAGAATATTTTAAGCCTAGAACAAACTGCAAGCGTTAGTGAATACTGGAGATATAATCTATATATACATATATCAATATATATATTTTAACAAATTTTCAAATTACGATACGTCCATAAGAAATGTATGGGGTACGACTTTTTGTTTTTTAGTCTTTTTGCATTGCCTGTTTTGATATATTTACTGTTTCATACTATAGTTATTTTTCACATATTCGTTCAAACGTCTCAGAATAATGTCCTTCTTGGTGAAAAACTCGTACTACCGTACAGTATCTGATATACCGTCAACCCTAGAGTGATTATTGAAACTGGTCCATTCTTCTTGTATAACCCATTGCGCAACTGTGGGTGAAAACATAACGGACTGTCTTGTTCTGCTTTTTGAGGGGAGTGCTAGATCAATGAATGTAAGAACATTGAAACAAAATGATAACAGTTATTCCAATGAATAGTTTGTCCAAGAAAACCTATTAAATTTAGTTCTTTTTAAGTAACTATGGAAACTAAAATGTACATACAAATATGCCCTTGTAGTTTTAATAAAGTCTATTCTTGTAAATATTTGATATTTCAACATCCAATCTCAAACCGCCAAAAGTCTTAAAACAAATATCACAAAAATATGAAATTTTGCCGCCATTTTGAATTTGATTTTTTAGTTATTTCCCATGGTCGGATTTTGGGTATGTTATAAAGCATTATTTTCTGTGTTGAATACCACTTCAATCGCTTGTGAAGCAATTTTGCCCAGGTTTAAGGGTAATTTGTCGTATTTTTCCTGGACTATAGGGAGCTTGTTCTAAGAGTATGCGTTTGACCGCTCTCCCAAATTTGTCTTTGTCTTGCTCCACTTTCAGGGGTTCAGGCAACACATTGAAAAACCTAATACTATTATAAAAGAGGTGTCTCTCAAAGAACCTTGTCCTGTGATCTATGATTTAAATAATAAATTAAAGTTAGTAAAGCTGTAAGTAGCCTATTATTAGATGCTTGCTAAATATAATAACTTGATTATCCTTATTAGCACAAAAGGCGTAACCAATAACGTTATATGGATTATTTCTGACAAAGCTGATCACTTTAAGGATTCTTACTTTTTTTGCTAACTGAAGGTGAATTGTATAAGAGTTTGCCTTTTTAATCAATATTAAAAAAATAATAATTGAGTTGTTCTCAATTTTGGACAATACCCAGATTCAATACACAATACGTCACCGCAAATTAAACAAAGCGCACATTTTTGTTTTCTAGCTATGACTTGAAGGACGTTCAGCTCAAAGATAATATATTAATATGATTACTATGTCACAAAGACCCTTATAACTCAATCTAACACAACCAGCACAAATCGATGTTTAAAAACTGAAAATACGTCACCTTAGTTCTTATACGAGGAAACATTATTTCCTATACAATTAAATAAACAGACTTGGTTTACAACTCAAAGCAAATTCTTCAGAGAAAGGCAGCCACATCAAAGCTAACCACTAACTTGTTCATCTTGCGCGGTCAAGCAGCCCTGACCTATCAACTGGCCAAAGTTAAGGAACTTTACAGGTCATGTTTGGAGAGTATACGTATACTAACCTAAACTAACACATTAACACGTCAAGAAATACATATTATTACACTAGTAATGAAACTGGTTACTTTAAAGGTACTTCTGATATACATTATGTGACATTTTAAATTATTTGCCATGTACGAACAGTTGCGCAAATATGTGTAGCTATCAATGAGGCGATTTACTTAAGAGAGGTACCTTTCAATGATAACTCTTTATTGTATTAGGCTCATCAATGAAGTAAAAACTCTTAAATATTTGCTTTTGTAAAATTGCAAGAGAGTGAATGAAGGAGTGGATAAACTCAAGTCCCAGATGCAGGTTAACTTTATATAAGGCTTTCCTAAACAAGTTGTATCAAATTCAGGCGAAATGCGACGATCTGTATGCGGGGTGCAACCATCAGCGGTTGATGAAATTACTTGGTGTATTTATTTTTCATGCAATTCTACTTCAAATTCTATACACTAAATTAGTTCCATTTGATAGTTTTTCTAAATTTATTTTTATTTTATAACAAATATAAATCCTCGACTAAGCATCTGTTTTTAGGCTGTTTGGCCCTTTATAGTTCATATATATTTCAATTTTACACTTCTATGAGCAGTAAAGCCAATTTAAAGACTCGTTTGCGTCTTTGAGTACTTACTCACATTTATTGTACTTGGCGCGAATACTCATTCACTCTGTGATCTAATGATATTTGCATAACGTTTTAATTAAACAACTACAAGTCCTACAAAACATACAGTTTAAAGCACGTTTATCTCTTTAAATGTGTAAAATGTTATTGTTATGCTTGTTATTTAAAATGTTTGTTTATGCTTATATTCATTTAATTGTATAAGCTGTTTTTACAACTAATTTTACAACCCAAAGCACACAAAACTTATGGCCACGAAAGAGATAATTCAAACTTAACACTTGTCAAGGTTTCTTTTTAATTTACCGTTGGATGAGCTAAAGTGAAAAAGATGTAATCCTACTTGAACTTATATCCTCATTTGACAAATTAAAACACTAATCTATCTTTAAACCTTGTCAAGTCTTGGCTAGATAACCAGGTTTACCTTCATAACATTAATTTAACCAACGAACGAAATCAATCAATTGAACACATCGTAGCTCAACGCAACGGGCATAGTTTGACAATTTTTACCTCACTAGACGAAATATTTCTAGCATGTAGGCCTACTCTACGTAGTCCCATTCACAATGGGAGTTTTAAAAAGGCATGTAAGCTTATTAATACTTTGATAACGAAAATCATAAAATAAGTAAAAAAAGATATTACTTTTTCAACAAGTTTATTCCATTTCTTTATTTTATACCAATACTGTACCAGTTCACGTGATATCTCTCCATATTACCCTCTTTTCAGTGAACTAGGTCATGATCTTCAGATCCAAGGTGTATAACATAGCCTTACTGTAACATTTATACTATTCACTCGCACAACAGTATCTTGACATAGACACGAATATCATTACACAAAGGAGTCTGAGCAAATCATCATATTGTTAGTGATGTGCAGGTCTATGATGTTCAGATCAAAGGCGTGTAACAAAGTCTTGCTGTAACATTTATGCTGTATACTCATACAACAGTGTTTACAAAAGCATATTTTTATAGTAGATACGACAAACTAAAAATTACTAGTTTGAGAAATATTGACAATAATCACTCACGACCGATTTCCAGTTGTTGTAATCATCACGTAAACAATTCATAATCAAACTGATGAAATCCTTTGACACCAATAAAACATATTTGAACCCCCATTTGTAAACATTGAAAAACAGTTTAGCAACAAAAAAGAAATGAAATGCTAGATCATAAAATGGATCAAATAAAAAGCGTATTTTATTTAAACAACTTTTATTTGATATAAGCTCACAAATCATACATATCAAAGTAGGAAGGCCTGAGCATATAGTAATGGCAATATCACTTTACAATGAAGTGTGTAAAATATCCGATGAGCGATGAGCAAGTAGGAAGTTTAGCATGCATAGATGAACAGTTGATATTACTTAATACTCGGATGGGAGAAAAGGCAAGGGTCCAAAAGTCTTTTAGTTGAAATATTGTTTCATTATTAATGGTTTTCTACATACAAAAAAATAGCTTCTTAGTCCGTTTATTTTTCAACTTTGCTAACTCTTTTTATGTGGCTCATTAATTAGTTTAACTCTAGTTGACATTTGTATAATTATCCTACAAGAATACTTTTAATATTCCAGGTCCAAGAAATTAGTTAACTTCTTTTACAGTTGTCTTGGTTACTAATAGCATAGCAAAATAGTGTGCTAAAAGATGAGTTAAGATATTCTTCTGACATATAAAGGTCAGATTAAGATAATGTCAAGTTGAAGCGAAGACGTTTCAAAGGTTAAGAAAGATCTAGTTTCATATGTAACCAACTTAACAAATCATAAATTTCCACTATCAATATATGTATTACATATGAAACCCTTACATTCACGCATTTATTATTGAACACAAAGAAATATTTATTTGACAATATTTAAAATAAATATAGCCTAATTTATTAAGTTGAAATACGTTCCAATTTTTCAAGATTTGTTTACGCGTGAGAATCCTCTATTATACATTAATGTAATGTTCGTCAGTATTAAAGTAATTTATGGTGCGTAACTTTACACATGGATAATTTTGGTAAAGTTCACATTCTATCAACCACCTTCGACATTGACAAGGAGGGGAAGACTTTGATCAACCCTCAGTTAATTACACATTCCACTTTGACTGTGTCCCTGTAAACGTTAAATGTCACCAACAGTCTAGCAGGCGTTTATATTGAGCTTAATTTATATACAGACCTCTGTAAGAGCCTTTCTTTCATATTTAAAATTCTTCCCTTTTATTATTTTATTTTGGGTACTCCACGAAAAGGTTGTTATATGTAATTAATATACCAAAGGATTTGAACAAGCTACAAAGCAAAGAGAAACACAAAAACACATACCTGGCTCCATCAATCAGATCAAAATCGCAATTACAGTGCGTTTACATGATAGTATATTTGGTTACTAATCTGGAAAAACTATCTTTGCCAGTGCGAGATCGTGTTTAGATCAAGCACTGGCAAAGAGCTTTTCGGTCGATTGAACGATACTTTTCGTCATGCTTCAAACAAGTATGATAATTGACTCTTCATTAGCACACCAGTTGACAAATCTGTTACGAGATACTTGAGGTAGCAAGTCATTTGAAACTTGACTTACTCTGTCCAACATTTTTAAGGACAAATTTCCTCTTCCGCTAGCCATTATTTTAGAAATCACAAAAACACAATGCCATGCACTAATATGCATCACACGTGTAACATCAATTAGAGGTTAACTGTAACCAATGATTTGACAACAATAAAAGTCAGCTCAAAAGTAATAATATTTCTAAAACTGGTCGGAAAGGAACTGTCCGGCAAAAATAGGCATTCACCATAAGATTAACATGAAGCTAATTTTAGTGATGTGAAAAGACAACAAGGGAACATATGTTATTTTAAATTAAAACAGCAAGTTTCCAGCCACATTTTAGTATGTTTCGTTCCCGCCTAGTATGACGAACAAAATTTTTTAGCGATACCAATGTCCAATAACGATAGATATGTAATTGTTATTTTAAAACTTTCATTCAGCAAGGTCAGGGAACAAATTTTACATGAATACATGAATCATGAATACAAACCGGCTATTTTTACCTTCGGAATAAAAACAACTATTACCTTAGCACTACATTTATTTTGAAAGTAGTAGTCCTTTAGTGTTTTGTAATTTAAATTACATAAAACTATTAAGCTTATTTTATTTTTGTGACGGACCTAAACTAACTCAGATTTTTGCTTGGCTTAACAATTCGTAAAACAATCTGTGGTAAATTGGTTTAAGCTAAACTAAGCAAATCTATTCAGAAGTTCCTCTAACTGTTTCTAGCAAAATAACGCATTCATTAGGAAACGCCTTTACAATGTTCTCAGCATTGGAATTGCTAATAGCAGACTACTGCAAAGTTTGTGTCTTTTGTAGAATTTTAAGTAAACCATGAAGTATTTCCACGTGAATCGTATTGGAAATAAACGGTTTTATTGATTAATGGAAATGTGTAAAATAGATCCAGGTAAATAATTAATATGATTGGCATACGAGAGGTGTTTATAAAGCTTCTAAAGCTTTCTAAGACTTCATCTATGCCTCGTAATTTCTGAGGCATCGATGATCATGTATGTATAAAATATTATCTTAGAACCTGGACTTTGTCACTGGTCATTAAACAAAGTAATAATACTACCTTGAAATAAATTAATTAGAAGTTTGCAACAAATAACCCATATTCTCCACTATACGTGTAGGTTCCGTGGTAACGCTTCAATGTGATTATGTCCTTTCCTTATTGTAGTTAATATTTTCCACATGTCAATAGAACATTATTTTCGTATTTTTTTAATCTTATAGCAAAGCGCGCTCTGTAAAATTTAAACTTGTTAGATTTTCTTTTAGTTAAAATCAACCACTCAAAAGTTAACAGTAGTTATGTAACAGATTAACATTATTTAAAACATATTCATCCTTAGAAATTGGACAGAAACTTAAACCATTTTTAAATCATCATAATTAAAACGTACGTCTTACAAAACAAACTTCAGAAAACAGAATGAGAAGATAGTTTTCTATAGTTTACTACACTAACAATATTTAAACAAATTGAAACTTGGACAAACTTGGACAGACCACAAAACAAAGTTAGAAAAATCATAATTAAGACTTATAAGCATCCCACAGTCGGATTTACTTATAAATCGTATGTCTATTACTAAACATGTTTTAACATATCAACTAAACGCATACAGACATTTCCAAAAATAAAAAAAAAGATCTATCTAATCTCACACACCACCATTAACTTGCCAGCAGCTCACAATAATTGTGATGCAATCCAAAACTCGCAACTACAATACATCGTTAACGAGGGTCAAAGAAGAGGATCGTAGTAGCTCTGATGCAGATTTTACATTTTGTGAATTGTTATTTTTGTTTACTTTTATAATTTTAACTTCAACAACTTTGATGAATGGTCTTACTCTTAAAACACCAAAAACACTCTTAACACTCTCTGTACTTAATGACAACTGATCCACAGTAGACAGTTTTAATTTACAATAATTAGAAAGTTAAGTTCTACTAATATCCACTCCTGATATTTACTTCCATTGGAAGGTTATTGGGAATTCCAATCTGATCTGTTTCGTTTTTATATCCAACGAAATCCGCACTTTTCAATTTCCTTCCTTCTGTCAGATCCATGCAGTCTTCATGCGTATCTTTTGACACCGATCCTCCCAAAACAGGAAGTTCTTGTTTTAAATACCTGTTGGATCATCACGGATTAATAAAAATCAGAGGGGACTTGTAAAGTAAAGTGATTTTAATCGTAATCGCAGGCTCACACAACACATATTATGGGCAAAACGTATTGCTACAAAAAACCTTCTGCTTGAAGAATCTGTTTTAAACTATTGTTTGTATAGTTTGTATTTATTCAATATACAACAATCTATTATATCTATCGATAGTCTCTAAGGTTTTAAAAAGCTGTCAGAGATATAGTGAGTATTTTTAATGCAGCTTGGTTAAGCTTGGTTAAGCTTGTTAAGCAGCTTGGTCTCCATTTAAATTTTATGGATTAAACGTGCTGACTATTTAAACACATGTATGCCTACTCGTATATTATTAAGTATTTTGTTATATTATATTACTTGTCTTTCAGTCTATTTTTCTAATAACAGCGGTGAACTCTGGTTACTGAGATTATTGGTCAAAAACACATTAAAATAAAATCCTATTTTCTTTTATATTTTTAAATCGTTATTTGTATATTTCCCTATCTCAAGTTTGACACTGGAAACTTACAAGTTAAAATTTGTTTTCATCTATCTTCTTTTGGATTATTTTACTAAAATAATGATTAGTATTTAAAAATTCTATAATCGCTTAAAAGCTTATAGGCCTAACTAATTCTTCTATTTATTGAATTTTGTCTTTGAAATGTGTTCTTTTAATCATACAGAACCATATATTACTTGTTTTCTGATTTTATAACGACAAAGTAACCCCCTCAGTATAAAAACGCACTAATACCGTTTAGTCGACGCCATCGCAGTGAAAAGTTGCCATCGTCAACATAGGTTTTACAAATGGAACTAGACATTTACTGCTGCAACTCCAAGTTAACAAATTTGTTAGTAATTTAAACTAAATACCTACCTGGTAATTAAATACGTAATTAAATGCCTACCTTTTATTCTCAAGTTTGACCACGAACACCTTTTTGAAGCAGTTTTCATCATCCAGTTTGACAAGTGTTGTGTAAGTGTCATCTTTCTCCCTTCTCAACATGATGCTAGTATTGAAGTACAAGACATCCTCTCTCATCACCAGACGCTCTATGGGAGTGAAGGGTAGAAGATCCGCTGACAGGGGGATTCCTCTGGCTATCAACACCACGAGTGTATGAATCGAATAGTCATCCAGGTTCTCATAGGCTCTCACTGCTACCCCTAGATCTACTTGAAGGTTGAAGTAACTCCAGTTACTGAATGGTTTGTACTTCTTCAGCCCACCGAAAGGATCGACTGTAAGAATATTAAATGGGTAAATATTTGACTATGGATAGAACGAAACATTATATTCCCATGTTTAAGTTGAACCTGTTTTTATAAAAATGAAAGGGTATGAATTGAGCCACAGAGGGCACGGATTACTTTCTTGTATCGAATACGGAAATTTGTTGACCAACCTTAACTAAAAGAGCAACCTATTACAAACAGTAATAGTTTTGTGTCCCACCACCATTCTTTGTAACAAAAACGAAGTAAGAAAATAATGTTATGCTACTAGCCCACTCTGTTATGCTATTACACCACCCTGTTTTGCTACTTGCCCACGCTGTTATGCTACTAGCCTACCCTGTTATGCTACTAGCCTACCCTGTTATGCTACTAGCATACCCTGTTATGCTACTAGCTCACCCTGTTTTGCTACTAGCCTACCCTGTTATGCTACTAGCCCACCCTGTTATGCTACTAGCCTACCCTGTTATGCTACTAGCTCACCCTGTTTTGCTACTAGCCCACCCTGTTATGCTACTAGCCCACCCTGTTTTGCTACTAGCCCACCCTGTTATGCTACTAGCCCCCCCCCTATTATGCTACTAGCCAACCCTGTTTTGCTACTAGCCCACCCTGTTATGCTACTAGCCTACCCTGTTATGCTACTAGCCCACCCTGTTATGCTACTAGCCCACCCTGTTTTGCTACTAGCCCACCCTGTTATGCTACTAGCCCACCCTGTTATGCTACTAGCCCACCCTGTTTTGCTACTAGCCTACCCTGTTATGCTACTAGCCCACCCTGTTATGCTACTAGCCCACCCTGTTTTGCTACTAGCCCACCCTGTTATGCTACTAGCCCACCCTGTTATGCTACTAGCCCACCCTGTTTTGCTACTAGCCCACCCTGTTATGCTACTAGCCCACCCTATTATGCTACTAGCCCACCCTGTTTGCTACTAGCCCACCCTGTTTTGCTACTAGCCCACCCTGTTTTGCTACTAGCCCACCCTGTTATGCTACTAGCCCGATTTGTAATTTTTTTTTGTTAACAGTTTTTGTAAACAGTTTTTGTAATTATCTCTCGGGATATTACTGGGTAAGCATTTTTAGATGAAAGCGTTATATGAAGCTACCAATATGACAATGTGAGGTCCATTATTTGTTAGGCAGTATTTACATAAGTAGGCCTGATATAACGGCCAAATTAAAAAGTACAAATACCCTGTATGCCTGGTTGTCATGATTTTAAGAAAATGTTTTGTTACTTTAAAAACTTACAGTCATGAGTGTTGTTTGTCTTTAATCTTCCTACAAGTTCAGTTACAGTTCTATGACCAATCGTCGCTTTAGGAACTCTTCCTCCGACTAGACTTAGGCACTCGTCGTCTTGTTGACCTAAGGTTTCTTCAGACTCGTTGGGCACTCCAGATCTAAAAATAGCAGTTGATTAAATGTTTTCTCATTCCTAGATGTACTATTAGTACTTCGTTTTATTGCACGTTTGGGACATAAAATATAAAAAAAACTGCCTGACAAATTTTACTATTTTTTACAGACTTTTGAAAAATGATTGAAGAAACGTTTTTATACTCCGTGTGGCAGCAGGTATCTCATTAAAAGTGTAATTATTTATGAATCCAATTTCTAAACAATTATTATTGCGTATAACTTAAATCCTAACTAAAGAACTACATTATATAAATTTACTCGTGCTAATGACTCTATGACATGATAGTTACATAATTCGCAATAGCATTATGGCAGTCTCTCAAACATGACCCAGAGTTTACCACTGAAACATCCTCAGGCAGTTGAATGTTTGGAGTCTCTTATCACATTCGTTTCAAAACTCATACAAACAATTTTGCAATTCCTTCACTATTTCTCAATGCAATGTCAAATTTCCTTGACAAATATAGACACTAGATTCAAGGAGGTTTTGAAAATCTGGAGCTTAAATATTCTCAGATTCTCAGATTATTTAAAAACCTAGAAAATGACTTTTAGCCTAACCCTTTTATGTACATCACAGATTAATACTAAATCGATCACCGATCATCACGGAAACTACATACGGTCCATCTTTGTTCTCTAGAATAACGGTCTTCTTAATACATTCTCCACTTCTTTTGAGGTTGTATGTGAAGACAAAAGTGTCAGCCTGAGTTTTTCTGACCCAGATTGCGTCACTGTAGTAGAGAGAGTCTCTAGTTATCACCAAATTCTCAACAGGTCCGCAAGACACCTATCCAATGGTGGAAAAACCAAAATTGATAAAGCAATATTTTTGTTTCAAATACGAAATATGCATCTATTGATACTTATTATTATTTATTATTTGATTGACGAATTTAATTGATAAGAATGTCATTTTTAACTTGAGTTAGTCTTTAAAAACCATTATCAGTACTGTATATATTTTCAATGAATTAATTTGAATTATTTTTCTTTAGATAGTTAAATTAAAATGTCTGGATAACTGAGTGCTTATGGTGCTTACCTTCAAAACTAAAGGTCGCTGGTTTGATTCCAAGCGAGCTCGTTGGAACTGTACACAGCTGCCTTTTGTCTTTGGGCTATCTTATTACTAAATAATCTATCTAACAAAAGAGTTTGACGCTAGTTAGTAACAAGATGAGGGATTGGACAGTTCCTTCAGCCACAAAAGACATAAAAAAGTGTATACATAATTTGCCTCCAGGATTGATCTATTGACATAAACACAACTTGGACAACATTTGGCAGTCTGGTTTTGTCCTTGGCCGGCCTCACGCGCATGTACATGATTTGTAATTATAAATGTTTTCGTGTGTGTTTATGTGTATGTGTGAAGTAATTTTGACGACGGCTTATGCAAGAGAATATGTTAGACATTTGACGACTGAAGATAAGATTTCAAAATGGGGTTTTAACCTCGAAACTATAGTCATCCACGACAATAGAGGACTGATTGACGGCAGTTTAGTAACCTCATTTTATGTAAAAAAAGTTAATTATTTTAAACATACAAATAAATAAATTACCTTTGAATGTTTAGGCAAATCACATCTATTAATCAATTAATTTGTTAATTTTGATAATTTTGTAAACGTTATCTTCAAATCACTGCATTGGTTTAATCCGTAGCTGGAGCTAAAAGTGTATTATGTACCAAACCAAAGATCTTGTAAAATTTGAACAGCTCTACCCCACATGATGATCATGAATTAATTATTTCATAACAAGTACCAAGAACAAGATTTAATGAAATAATTTTGTATTATCTTAAAGATGTGTTCGAAATGTGTCGCAAGAAAAGAACTCATGCACTTTACACGAGATTGATTCCATTTCATAACTCGTTGTCTGACTTGCCATACCTTCACAGCCTGTACACTCCGACCATGACTGGTGATGACCAGAAGACGGTAACATCTCTGACCATGCGAGAACGACCTGGCTACCACCCCTATAGGCTCCCAGGGGTTGATGGTCACCCAGAACTTGCCAGGGATGAACTCGCCTGTGGTGCCGTTAGTGGACAGAACTGGGAAGGTTAATACTTTTTTAGAGTTCTGAAGTGGTGTAAAACGCTGAAAAACCAAGTGTGTAATAGAAATATTAGATTGGTTATGGCATTTAAAATCACACTGAGGGGGTTTAGGTTATAATTATTTCCACTGATTTGTAAAATTATTTGACTTTTGTTTATGACATTTTTTGTATTATCTGTATTTGTAAGTATTTTTCCGCAATAATACCCCCATAGTTATTATGCGAAATCATTTTTATTTGAGAATATACTTATGAATAGTTTTTTGGGAAAATCAAATTATTTGATTTTATTTTGTTTATAAGTGTTAACGTTGGTGTTAAATTGCCATTCGGCGTACCTTGATCCATGAATAAGTTGTTATTAAAAGATATAATTTTAATCCCGAATTACATATAATGAAGAAAAACTATGTTTGAACAATCAATAAAAGTTTTTTTTATTATATTGGTTATTTTTACGAACTACATGTTTCACATTGTCCTACGGAAAGACAAAATAGTGTAATCTGACTACATAAACATAGTACAATGTAGTAAATACAAATACCAGTTTTTTCATTAGTAGAAACATTAAATCTCTGAGGTTGAAAAAGTAATTAAAAACTTCAAAATCTAACTCCATATATTGTGTGGTTAACCAAGGGTTTTCATGTGTCAGATGATATGTTTTTATTTACTCAGTACATTTTAAAACTTACGCATCATCGTAGGCATTTTGAAGTGGACCAATGAATAGCATTCATGGTCGGTGTTAGCTTGAGCTACTTCAGGTTCTGATTTATCCTTTATTGTTGGCCTGGAGAGAAGATTGAAATTAAAATATTATGCACAGTACTTGGCTCTGATCTTGACCAAATTACAGATTTTCATTACCAACAAATTAGTAAATATTAAGTTCTGAGAATTTATTATAAGCTTCTATAAGCTGTAGGTAATACATTTTTTATCATCGTATTATTTATTTATTTGTAAAACTTTATCTTATTTCAGGCCTACGCTTATTAGTTACTGATAACTTGGAGGAGCTAAAGGAGTACAGGAGAAATTTTTTGCAGAATATTAATTCTTTTTCTTTTTTTGAAAAAAAATGGTAGAATTTCTTTATTTGTTGGAGACTTTTAAAACATGATCGAAAAGGCAAGTTTTAATACTCCTTGTAGGAGCATGTACCTCATAAAAAATATTGAAAATGGTTAACAATACCTGCATATAGTAATCCTTTGTTGCTGATTTTGGCAACTAGTTTCGGTTCATTATTGAACCATCTTCAGGCCTCAAGGTGTCAAATAATCACTTCATTCGAAGGTCGTTAATAACAGAGTTCAATAAATAAGACATATACAAAACACGATACACGGAACGGACACACATTACAAAAAACACGAAAAACACGAAGGGACATTGACAATCGATCGTAACCGGGCTGAGGTAAAGTCTAGACCTATGTATTGTATATGTCTTATTTATTGAACTGCGGACATTAACGACCTTCGAATGAAGTGATTATTTGACACCTTGAGGCCTGAAGATGGTTCAATAATGAACCGAAACTAGTTGCCAAAATCAACAACAAAGGATTACTATATGCAGGTATTGTAAACCATTTTAAGTATAATACAGTAATCCGGAGGCTAAACAACTATTTAAAAAAAAAATATTTACTGTAAAACGGTGCAATAAATAATTAACAAAGATATACAATTATTTTGAAATTTAATTTTTTTCTGTTTGTTGTTGGAAGCTAGGAAGTATTATTTTATCATATGACCGATCACACTACTATCATTAGAAGTTGGGTTTGTCATAATCTTCCTTTGTTATTTAACCACTTGATCATATTATAATTTTACAGTTTAAATCACAGTGTGCTACGTTAAAAATCGTTTAGTTTAATCGATTATTTAACTACTTAACTTCCTAACCCACTTCTAGCTGAAAACATATAATTTTATCTCTCTCCACCTTATTACCTGTGACCGTCAGTGAGAATGTAGTATGTCATTTTACACGTCTGTTCCTGGGGTACTCTCTCGGCCGTCACAAACGTATTCTTCAGAGGTCCTTGCTTGACCATCGCACTCCCGTAGTAGTGTAGGGTATCATCCACCATCACCAGACCCATGGACGGTTCTATGGAGTCACAGTCAGTCAGGGTGTGTCCTAGAAGGACCCCTCTAGCAAGGAAAACCACAGCGCGCTGACAATACCAGATGTTGTGGAAATCTGCGATGGCTGCAGAAAGAACGTCGTGAATTGAGATCTTGCTCCATTCTGTCACTCTTTTATATCGTGGAAGAGGAGTGTAATCTGCAAAATAGTATTATTTTACCAATCCACTTTAATATTTTGAGGAGTTTGAGTGGTAAAACATGAGTTTATTACCATAGCCTACTAATAAGAATTAATTCTCACAAAAAATAAAAGTACAGACGAAACATCCAATCGTACACTTAAGTGGGATCTAGCGCTAGTGGATAGTGTCTAGCGCAAAGTCCAACACCCCTCGCTCTCATGTACTTACAACACTCACCGGCAGCTAGTGCTAGACACCACTAAAGTGTACAGTATCATTGAATGTTTCCTTTGTACCTTACTTCTTCGTAAAAAAGTTATACATTTTGAAGAGTTATAGTATAGTATTTATAGGGTGAATTTTCATTGTCCCCCCCCCCAACTTTTTTCTACATTTTTTCAAATATCAATCCCAGACCACTTCCAAACATTGTTGGGTAGTAAGTACTTCATTTTGACAAGGTGGTCATTTCCGGCCGCCATCTTGGATCCGCCATATTAGATGAATTTTTTTTTTCAAATGTAAAGGTGGGGTTGTGACCCATTATTTCGAACTACATTTCTACCATGATTACAATGCCGCAAATCGTTTTTAAAAATCTTGATTCATTCCAAAGTTATGAGGGTTTTTTAAAACTTTATTTTTAGCCCATTTTAACATTGTGGATTTACAAACTAAGACCATAATCTCAAAATAGTGCTAGATAAAGATAAGTATACACTACCAGTAATTGTCGACCTATTTTCACTTGGTTATGACTAATGTATCTTTTTCGGCCGCCATCTTGGATCCGCCATTTTGAAATGTGATAAATTATTTTAAATATGAAGGGGGTGTTGTGACCCATAATTTCTAACTACTTTTTTAAGCTGAACTTAATTTCATCATCCGTTTTTCATTTTCATTTTTTGATTTTTAAATTTTGACATTTTTTACAAAAAAATTTCAATATTTCATAAATAAAACTTGATAACAAAAAAGGGATTGCGGCATTGATGGGTCACAACACCCCCTTCATATTTAAAATAATTTATCACATTTCAAAATGGCGGATCGAAGATGGCGGCCGAAAAAAATACATCAGGCATAACCAAGTGAAAATAGGTTGACAATAACTGGTAGTTTATACTTATCTTTATCTGACACTATTTTGAGATTATGGTCTTAGTTTGTAAATGCGCAATGTTAAAATGGGCTAAAAATAAAGTTTTAAAAAGCCCTCATAACTTTAGAATGAATCAAGATTTTTAAAAACAGTTTGCGGCATTGTAATCAAGGTAAAAATCTAGTTCGAAATAATGGGTCACAACCCCACCTTTACATTTGAAAAAAATTTTGTATCCAATATGGTGGATCCAAGATGGCGGCCGGAAATGACCACCTTGTCAAAATGAAGTACTTACTACCCAACAATGTTTGGAAGTGGTCTGGGATTGATATTTGAAAAAATGTAGAAAAAAGTTGGAGGGGGACAATTAAAACTCACCCTGTATACGTGATACGCTGTAAAATTACATCCATTTGATATAAGTCCTTTACCTTCTAGATTCGTAGAAAGAGGCCCTTTCTTCTGGTCGAAATACAAAAGAGTTAAAACCATCACCAAAACCAGGATCAACGAGGGTAATATCACACGTCGTGTGGAAGGGTGAAGACTCATCTTATCACTGAAATAATATACCTGTTAGTAATTTTATTTTTATTCTTTTAACTGATTACAGATGTAGAGTTGACGGGCCAGCTTCTAATTGGTTAAGTACCCTAGACAAGCTTAGTGGTTTGCACCATGCTATTCTTGTAAGGGAGAACTTAGTCCATTGTCCATCTTAAAATTTTTAATACCTTCTTGCTCATGGAAGAGATGAATATATATTTTTGTGTACTTCTATAAGTTTACCAAGGATAAACACGGTTAACCTGAAAATGTATTACCTTTTATATGTTTTAAAATGGACTTTTATGAAAGGATGCTTTGCTAACCTTGATCGAATACTCCTCACATGTTAAATATTTAAATATATATGTCTAATATAGAGTCTATTCTAAAATATAATTGTTTCCTTGACAAAATGTAATTTCTGTGTTTATTAGGAATATTATGAATTTTTAAAATAAAAATAAATCAAACGACACATCCTACAAATTAACGATTAAATTGTCCTGTTTGGTAATTTCAAACAAATTAATTCCAATGTCAGTAACACGTATGTAATCAATTTAAATTTTTCTGGAATCAATAAATAATAATTAATCATTTAGTTCTAGTGTAAACTATTGTATGTTACAATTCTAACCTCAAAACTAACCTTTAATTTAACCTAACCGCAAACAATTCTTCTACTCACCACTTCTACACACCATCTATTCTACACTTGTAATCATCTATACCAGCTTTAGTTTCTTAAACTACATTTAAGCTCTATCAAATACACAATTACGCTAGATGTACACGTAAACACACATACACAGGGACCGTTTCAACATAGACTCCACATGCTAAATATTCACACCTGTGTAACAACTGTTCACGACTCTGATATACACTCGTAGATAAATATTTAGCATTAACAGTCATCGCCTGATGTTTACCAATGTCTAGCTGAATATTAGCTTGCCGTTTTATATAAAACATTAAAGACATGCACTTTCATGGAATATACAATAATTTTCCATGTTATGCGTCAACAATTTTTGTTGTTGGGCTCTGACTTATTTTGGAGAAATATTTTAAAAAGATAAGATACAATTATTGTGTTTTCAGTTTGCCATTACACATTGAAGGACGATATACGGCGATAAAAATGCACATAAAATGTCCATTGATCGTTTAAGAGTATTGCCTTTATAATCATTTTGCTACGCAAGCAAGTTAGATTTATATTTGAACAAAGTGCTAGTGAAATTCGGAACACAATTAGTAAAACAACCAGTAAAAGAGATTAAGCCAACCGGGCAAATTTATTCCGCAATCTGTGTTTCTATTCGCGTAGCATAACAATGGCTTTATCAGACCACCCTTACAACATTCGTGCTGTTAGAATTGCTAATTCACACAACTGTTTTATACATGTACTTATAGAATGAATCACTGTCTAAACAGTGTAGTGGCAGATGCTGTAGTGATTGATTGACTACTTGTTAAAGATTACAACCTATTTTTTTATATAAAAAATGTGCATTTCTTATAAGTTATCAAATATCAAATCCGTTTAATGCTCATGCAATTTAACTCATTGCAGCATAGTGTTACAGTAAATGTAACACCAAATGTTTGTCCATTGTTTCACAGTGTTACACTTTGTGTAACACCACATGTTTTATTTTTTTCCAACCAGACACACAGCGCTATTATTTCGGAACTGTTCCCCTGTAGTTCAACACATCACCACTAGATAGGGTATGTGGGTATTTGAGGGAAACCTATTTATTTATTGTGTTCAGAGACGTTCACATGTGATCGTGTTGGTGTTTACTGTTATCATTGATACTTTCATGATTATTGAGGTAAGTTTATTACTGATTATACTTATTCTAAATGGAAAATGAACTTATGGTTTCGTTATACAATATAAAGTTGTTTTCCCATAATTTATTTAAGTTATACGTTGCTAGGTGATAGGTCAAAACAATTAAAAACAAGCATTTTTGCATTTGTCATAGTTCCGTGCAACATGGGGTCACAGAACTAGGGATGGTTCCGTGCAGCAAATTAAAAGCCAAGTTACTGATTTCAGATGAGTATTCAACGTTTTATATCTTCATCGGAGTTGCAAAACTATCTCAATTCACCTACATGTGAATGTTTGTTTTTATCAAATATAACTTCACTGAAATATTTTGGGTTTATTCAAAGTTAAATTTGCTACAATATTTGTTGTTTTTCGTATCAAGTAATCAAGTTAGGTCCAACACAAACTAAGAAAATCGTGCTAAAGCTATGTTATATTTTAGATCGGTGTAAATATTGTTTTGAACATATCCATTCATGTTTGCAGTCTAGAATATGGGTAAATATTTCACTCAAGAAAAAATGACGTGTCAATGCAGAACAGTGTCTCAATATGTTTTTGTTCCCCACGAATCCTACTATTTAATAAGGCCTCCTTCAAAAGCCTTTCCTCAAATAACAAACAAACATCTATGGGACACAAAGGGTAAAGTTACGCATCACACCAAAGTAGCAAACTGTGTTATCAAGTTGGTACAACTGAGTGAAATCTCCTGTCTTTGTGACGTGTGTAAACAAAATATTCATTAATAAATGTTCTTCAATTTTTAATTTGTTTACCATGAAACTCCGTAACTTTCATGACATGGGATAGTATTAGAGCTGGCAGTTTCTGAAAAAAAAGTTACAATTTACCTCCATTTATTTAATATTATAACTAAATTCTTTGAGTTAAAGCTTCAACAATCAACCTTTTAAGTTCTCTAAATACTATACGAGTAGCTGTATTGTCACTTTCAGTTCGACTAATTTTAAGTATTGAAAATACAAATTTGATAGATGATGTTAGTTCCTATACACAATATAAAATAATTTAATGGATTTTGCTGAAACCAACTCTGCAGTTCATTTCATTCATGTAAACCCTAAGAAAATTAAATTCGCCCAAATCAGCTTACAGCACGATGAAAAGGCTTAGCAGAATCAAGTTTTAATTGTTCTAGGTTTAGGGATTGCTATAAACCGATTTCGTCCGTGCATACAATTTGAGGAATGATATGGGAGTTATTGCTTAGGGATTTAGCTAGGCCTATTTGACTTGCGGTTTTGATACCCTAAAACCTTTATTACCTGTAAAAACCAGACATTAAAAATGTTTTTAATTAACTATGGAACTGGCGTATGCCGTTTCAAGTGGTGTAATATGCTTTAATTAAAGATTAAATTTACCTTAAAGAGCGTGTAGAGTAATTTGATAAACAGTTAGTTTGCATTTGTAAATAATTGGATTTCCTATCATTATAATTATTTTTTAAGCATAGCAAGATTTTAAAATCTAAAAATCCAAACATATGTCAATAAAGGATGGATGAATAAAGAGTAGCCTGCAGAAGACAACTCTGTACGTTTCTAACAAGACCGTGGTTTTTATCACCTGTGCAGGATTTTGCTTCTCTTGGAGGAAAACCATTAAATGGTAGATAATACATTTTAAAATTATTTCCTATAAATCGACACAGTATATCTACTGCGCAGGTTTTGTGTTATAGTATTTCAAACAGCCTTTTTCATAACCTTTGTTTAATTTTCATTTGGTCGAGGGTATTAGCGAAGCCGTTGGTCTCATGATAAGACCTGGACCCGGGACCAAATTACTTTTTCGTTTTGATGTCCCCAGAGGCCAAAACACCATCCGTTAAAATTCATACACTCACCATCTGTTTTAAATAAACATAGGCTAGGCTAATATTTTTTTAAGAAGTTTTATTCTTAAATGTAAGCCCGCCTTGGTTCCATAATTTTTTATAACTTTACTTTAATAACTCTTGGGATAAATACTGTTGCTGAAACTTCTACAGGCCATTGTTGTTTGTATGTGTGTGTTTGTGTCTGTTAGCACGATAACTCCAGCATAATTTATCCGATTTAGATGAAATTTGGTAAAACGTGTATATAAGCCTGCATTTTTATTCGAACGTGTTTGCGAACAAGAATAATCGGACTATAGGAACGGGGGTTTATGGGGGGTTTTATTTGGTAAAAAAGGTTTTCCCAATTTTTGACCCTAAAAGCATAAGATTTCGCAATTTCTTTCCAAGCCATTTTGTAGAGCACAAAAAAAACTTACAATTTAGTGTATGGAATCATTGTTGTATACTTGATAGTTACGGAGAAAATTACTAAAAACTGTAAATTTAAAATGCCCATGTAATTCTTATGAATATCAATTTGTTGTATTGCTTGTTTATAAACAAATGTTGATCAAATTTAGAAAATTTATATATTTTATACTTAGTCATTAGGTATACAGTACTATCAACTAAAAAACACACCTTACTGCCTTCTCTGTAGCAGCTAACCTTAGTACTCGTTACACTATTATTTTTTAAATAGGGAATAGATATGCAAATTGTAAAGAGATATTTTAGAGAAAATCCAATCAGGCAAATGGAAATTGGCTTAGTCTGCAGGTTTGCTGTGGCCGTATAATTATGTATAATCTTACATAGGCTAATACAAGTTTTTATTTACAGCCTCAAATTTGACTATTGTATTTACAACATTTTTGTTTATGGCAAATCCCACTTATAATTTCCTGCAGGGTTACCAGATCCATTTTGTACTTTTCCAGTTCCTTGTTAACTATGTTTTGGTCTCACCGGAGAGCGAACATTACGGCTTTAAATCTCAAGTCATTATGAAGCAGCTTAGGTCATTGTCCAATGTGATCCATCCTGTCCAAGACATTCTGTAGGTAATATCTTTGTAATATATAACCAGGGTTGTTTTACAAGGGAGGGTGGTTAATCCAACACCTCAACCCCCAATATGAATGGAGGACCGCACCTTCTGGTCAGCGGGTCCATCAGACCACAGACTAACGAGTCTTTTGTTGTAACTAAGTATTTTGTTTCCTTAAGTCTATGATCGGACCTAGCCGGGAGATCTGGCAAGCAGACCCACCGACCTTCCCCCTATCTGCCACCTGGGGACGCTCGGTATACGCTGAAGTAGGAAAGCGCACGGATACTTTATTACAAGATACATAAAATACTATCACTAAGTACAATATATACTTAATACTAGATACTATGGTGTAATTAATACTAACATGTTGTTTAATCTTCTCCAGGACTTGTCCTTGTACTGTATTCTGCCTCCACTTGTCTTCAATCGGCTCACAGTGTTGTTGAAGAACTCTTCAGTTTCTTCCTCTTGAAGGTTCTCAGAAATTCGATGTCCTCATCCATAGTTGCATTCATATCCTACCTTTTTTGGCACCATGTGGATAATTTTTGTTTTACTGGAAAAAATCAACATCAGGTCTCCGTGTACTTCTACAATCTTGCATTTTCCCCAGGAATTATTACTTGGTTGCTTACTATAGGGATCGTCTGCTTGTTCTTAAGCAGCAATAGTGACAAGAACAGAAGAATTCTGTCAAGATTTCACTGATGTTTCTAGAATGTAGCAAATACACTTAACTTTCTTGAATCTGTATTCTTCCTCAAAATAATTTAGTGAAAATTTCTTCTTGCAACCATTTATTGTATCAGTGAAATAATTAAATAAATAGTTTCTATGGAAACATATATTTACTGTCAGCATCCCATTGTTCAAGAACCAGACCTTTTTAATGGATAAATGCAAATGGATGGCAGGGACTGTCCATTTTTATAAAAGTTGAATCCAAATTTAGAATGAAACAAAAAAATTAAATTGATCCTCCAATTGAAGGATGTCTATTAATGATTTACGTTTTACACCGACCTTTAATTGAGCCAAGCAGAAAGGTCTACTTGTTGTAAACTATACAGATTTGTGGTTACAATA